ACTCCGTGCGCCCGCGCCCCGGTATTTCGCGGAGGGGAGGGGCGGGGTCGCACCTGCATAGCACTGATGTCGGCGTTCTGCTTGTCTTCCAGCTCCTGCAGCTGCTTCTCCAGCGCTTCGTTCATGCCCCGGCAGGCTTCGATCTCCAGGGTCTTGGCCTTGAGCAGGCGGCGGCTCTCCGACACCTCGTCCTTGGCGGCGCGCACGGCGTCGGTGTTCTTGGCGGCGCTCTCGGTCAGCACCGTGAAGCGGCTCTTGAACCACTCTTCGGCGTTCTGCATGTTCTTGGCGGCCAGCTTCTCGTACTGCGCGCGGATGTCCTTGAGCGCGGCGGAGAGGTCGGGCTTGGTGGACACGTCCATCTCCACGGAGATCTGCGCGTACTGGATCTGCGCCTGCAGCTCGGCGATCTCCTCCTCGTGCACTTTCTTCAGGAAGGCGATCTCGTCCATCAGGCTATCGATGCGCTTCTCGAGCTCGGCGCGGGCGAGCGCGGCCTCGTCGGCGCCTTTGCGCGCCTCCATGAGCCGGCCCTCGGCGTCCTCGCGGCTCAGCACCTCCTCTTCGTAGCGCGCCTGCAGGTTGCGCAGCGTCTCCTCCAGCCCTTCGCGCTCGCCCTGCAGCGCCTGCTTCTCGGTGGTGGCGTCCTCGGCCGCCAGGCGCAGGTCGCGGATCTCCTGCTCGTACAGCGCCCGGAACCGGGACGGCTCCGAGTGCTTCTGGCGCAGCACGAGCAGCTCGGCCTCCAGGACCTTGTTCTGCTGCTCCAGCTCGTGCACGCGCTCGATGAAGCTGGCGAAGCGATCGTTGAGGTCCTGGAGCTGCGCCTTCTCCTGCGTGCGGATCGACTTGAGGTCGTTGCTGATGGCGGCCACCTGGCTCAGGTCGAGGTTCTCCAGGCTGGGCATCAGAGAGCCGGAGCTGGACGAGTAGCTGCGGCGCACGGACAGCGAGGAGGACGCGGGCGCCGAGTAGCTGGAGTAAGCGGAGCGCGCGGTGCTGTAGCCGCTGCGCACGCCGGGGATGTGCACCCGGGGCGCCTCCACGTAGCGCCGCTTGTAGGAGGTCGAGTAGTACGGCTCGTAGCCGAAGGAGCTCATGGCGGCGGCCGGCGGGGGCCTGGAGAGAGGACGGCGGGGGAGAGCGGGCGAGGGGAGGGCGGAGGGCTGTGTGCGGCTCGGCGCCGTCCTGCCACCCCTACTTATACGCCGGGAGGCTCCTGACGCAGCCGCGATCGACGGCGGCGCGCCGGCCGGGGGGGCAGCGCTGCCGCAGCCGGGCGAGGATTCTGCGCAAACGGGAAGGCGGGGGCCGGGGAGGGGCGGCGCCCGTCCCCTCCGCCTTTCTCCGAGGCCCCGGCTTCCTCGGGGACCCCGCGCCCCTCGCTCGTTTCTCCTCTACGCGCCCACTCGCCCGCTCCCATCCTGCTTGGGCCCGGACCCCGCGTCCCTTGGATCCTCACGTGTCCCCAAGAACAGGCTCCCACTCCCTACCGACACGCGAGTTTTCCATATTCCGGTGCCTCGCAGACACCCTGTCCCCCAACTCGCCTCTTCCTCCTTGGTCTCCCCCCCTTGGTGTTCTTGGTGACGGCGTCCCTGGGGCATCTGGCATGCACAATAATAGGCTCCACGCGCGCGTATGCGGCAGACATGGAGAAGAGTTGTACGTTTCTTTGTGGCTTTTTCTGGCACTTTCTTTAATTCTGCTCCCTCGTCCCCTGGTTGTTTTTCTTTTGCTTTCATGCTCGGCTTCTCAACACCTAGGGGATGCGCCCCCCCCCCCCACACCCCCCTCCACCTCCCCATCCCCCACTCTGCTGCACAGCAGGTGTTTTGGCATCTGTAAACCTTTGGAGCTGTTAACCAGCCTGTTAGCGTTCCTCGATTTTTCTCTTCTTTCTGGAGAACGAAGCCTCGAATGCTTTGGGTGTGTTGCAGGGTGTAGGTGGAGAATGAGTTGGAAACTAAACGCGAGGGCACCGACTCGCCCGGCAGCCGCGCGCTCTGCAGCGGGGCACTTCAGGCTGCCCGGATCCTCTCCACGCCAAATTCCTGCTTGATCCCGCTAACCCCCAGCACACCGAAAGGCCCCTTCCCTCCGCTGACACCTGTGTAACCTGATGATCTCCACCAGCCAGGCAGGTGGCTGATTTTCAGGGAAGCCGCTGCGGCCGCCCGGAGCGCCGGGTGTGGTCCCCGGGGAGGAGAGCGCGGTACTCGACCTCTCGTTCGGAGGCGGATAGAGAGTAGCAGCATGACTCTTCGCCCGATTCCCTGCAATAACTAGATACCAGATGCAGCCCGGAGCCCGGGGATGTCCTTTGGGCAAGCGCCCAGATACCTAAAACGGGGCGCGCGCCCTACGGCACGTGGAGACAGCCCTGCGGTTTGCAGAGCTTTTCACGCGCTTTGTGACAGGCGTCCAGCCGGTTTCACCCAGGGATCGCAGAAACCGACGCAAAATACTTAAATTTTCTATGCGAGCGTTCAGTTTTTGCTTTAACTGTATAGCTCACAACATTTGACTGCAACTTACTGATTTTTTTTTTTTTTTTTAAGACGCAAACTAAGGGGAAGCATGGCAACTTTTCAAATAGAGAAGCTGGCATGGCTTCCCCTGAGATACTCAGAGGGTGAAGTTCTTGGAGCTGCATCGCCGCCGCGTCCGGAGATACTGCCCGGGGCTCCCGGGAAGAGGGTAGGGTGAGGCTTAGCCTTTGGGGTCCTTACCGACCCCTCCCTCCCCCGCAAAAAATCCCATGATTTGATACCCCACCACCTTCGTGGTAGGGAGAAAGACTGCGGCGGAGAACTTGTTATCGGGTTTCTAAACATCCTCTCTTGTCTCAAGTCACGCAAATACAGAAACACTGATACTGTCCGTTTCAATCCGTCAAGTCTAAGTGATCTCAGAGGTCCATCCATGTCCAAACACTCTAGGATTTCAAGCCTCAGGTACATTAGGCTGTCCTGGATATTGATTGCCCCTGGCAGACATGGTAGAGTACTTATTCTGGTGACTTTTAATAGCCTACCTATCTCCTTGGTCTTCTCTTTCATTAAATCCAGCAGTGGGAGAGGCTTGGGGGGCGGGGGGAGTGGAGCGGAAACTGGGAGAAACCCTGTAGCTGCTCCCTCCGGATCCCCCCTATGTGGGTGAAAAATGGCAGAACAGATTTGTCGTTAGCCTGCTTTATGTCAACCACGTTTTTTGTCAAACCGGGTGAGCCCTGAGTCCACATATACTCCACACTGGCAGGTATTCATGGATGGATTTCCTTCCTGCAAGCTCTCTTTCCCAGGAGTTTCAGGTCACCCTTGGAGATCTGAAGTCCAT